GGATGACTATCGAGTTAGTGGGTCAGTGAAATTAGAACGTGGTTAATATTTTTAGGACGAAATTAGACTAACACGATTTATTGGAGCTCGCCGCTCTGGTTGTAAACGGGTTAAGTTGGCTTATAAGAGCTTACGCCTAATCTATATTAGGTTATGTTTGACCTATTACAAATAGTAAAACAGAACAGGTTTAGGTTTTTAAAAAAATCTATTTAGAAAATAGGTTATAGACTTTTTTATACATGTTGGGCCTATAAGTCTACAGGCTGACTTATATTATATTATTTATTTTAAATATAATAAATAAAATTTATTTTAATAATTTTGAATAATAAAGTATTCTTATTTTAGTTATTCTTTTAATTGTTGAATGTTTAATAGGCTTAAACACGCTAACGGACATAAGCCAAGATTTTTATTTTTTAAATATAGGTCAGACCAGACTTATAATTTGGAGCCTACACAAACAGGTCAGGCTAGGCCTAATATTTTTTTACACAGGCCAGACTTATTTAAACCAAAGCCTAGTCTAGTCTATTTACACCCCTACTCGCCCCACCAAAACTTACAGAAATATTTAATTGTATATACCATTTTTTTTATTTTATGCATAAATGGTTATAATTTTAAAGAAAAAAAATTACATTAGAATTCCTTCTTCCTTCAAAATTTTTTTTGACTCATTGCTCTTAAAATTTAACATTTATTCGTTAAAGTAATCATATAGCTAACAATAAACAAACACAACTCCAACACGAAAGAAAAGAAAAACGAGTAACAGCTGTTGGTTACTGAAGATTTGACCACTGGAACAAGAATCCGGGGCACAAAACCTGCTTCTCAGTTCAATTCAGATCACATTCTAAGAAGTTCCTGTAAGAATAATTTTGTAGAGCAAAGAACTTCCAAAATGAGTGGTGGCTGTTGTGGAACATAGGAATAAGGAAAGGGATAAAAGGAAAGACAACTAAAAGGTGGCCACTCATACTAACATTACACTAATAATGGTATTCATAATAATCATTCTTTTTCTTTTCTTTTTCCCTTAAAGAAGACGCAGAATTTGACCAATATGTCCACCCTAAAACGAATCTCACCTGGAAAAAGAAAGAAACGAAAAGAGCACCAACTCCTCTATGCACATCCATGATCCATTATTTTTTATTTTAAGGTTTTGAAAACATATACTTTTTAACGTATAAATATTTATTATCTTAAAAGTTCAAAAAATATTTCATAATTTTTTAAATAATTAAAATAGATAATAAATACTTTTTTAGTCCTTAACATGTAACCTAATACTACACATTCATAAAAAAACTTTGTTTTAAAAGTTGTGTGTTTACCAATCGCTCCATTTTTTGGTGAAAAGATGCAGGAAAGAATGAAGATAATGCGCATCCTTTTAGGCTGTAAGTATATAGTTATCAATTTGACAAAGACTGATAGACATTCATGGCCTTTGCTTTTTTTGGTACTATATGTGTTGATGGCCTCTTCTGCTCTTTGATCACTTTGCATGTTGCAGCACGAAAACGCAAAGGGGTTTAAAATGGGGTTACACATAAAATTAACAAAGTATGAGAGGAGTAACGAGATATTTGATGTGATTGGTTGAAATGGATGTTATCCGCTTCCACTACTGGAAAGCAAAATTCGCATATTCTTGTCGTGCATCTCAGCTTTTCTTGAACCCTTTATGAACCCAAGAGCCACAATTTCCCAATGCTTTTTTTTTCTTTTATTAAAACAAAATCTTTTGCATGACAAAATAAGTTAGATGCTACAGGACTTATATTATTGGTGAAAACAGCTGGCTTTAAACATGTATGAATGACAAAATGGTGGCTGATAAGAAGCACAATGTACCCAACTTATGGAATAAATCTTTGGTGCTATTGCAGCACTTATGAGCATTACACATCAGAGGAGAGAGAAAAAATTTGGCAGAGAAAAAAAAACTTTAACTTATATGTAATATTTCTATTGGTGAGATGTATTGAATCTTTGGTGCTACAGTAGCACCAAAGATTTATTCACCCTTATGCTCAATGAGTGTAGTTCAGTTGGTAACATATACTGAGTAGGTAAGAAGAGAATCTGAATTTAATCCTCACCAAATACATATTTGAGATTTAAACCTCAACTTGGCCACTTAAGATTAATCTTGCTTTATAGACACAAATATATTTTTGTCTTTGAACAATATCTAAAGAAAAAATTAAACATGAAAAAAAAAACAGTTTTTAGTAAAACTAATGAATCGTATAGTATATACTATCGGTACTTTATATAAAAAAATACTGTTATGTATATTGAAGTTTAGGTCATAGAGTATAAATATGACGGTGATATACGTACTAGGGGACCAAATTAAAATTAATTAATCATATCTAATCGCATCTCGTTTGAAATTCAGCATACCAAACAAAGACAATTAAATTGAGCTAGTCTTATATTTTATATTATCTTCACATTGTCCTTGACATTTTTTAGTGCCGTACAATATATAGGAGACAAGACTGGAAATAAAATTTGAAGAATTGGAGAGACCACAATGAAAGTGTACCTTTTTGAACTTATGGTGGAATATTAATTATGAGAAATATTAGTCTCATGTGATAAGAGATAATAAGTCTTTCCTACACACTCAAAAGACGTGGGACACACTTCAAATTTTTTTTCTCTTTTTTCTATGCAATGAGACTCACCTAAGTTTGTGAGTATAACATGAGATATCTTATCTCATGTTGCATAAGAAAATATAATTCCATTAATTATACCTAGCAAATTGTACCATAACACAATGAATCATGAAGTCAAATATCCAATAGAAGATAGCTATCGGTAAGTACAATTACAATCTGGCTTTCTTAATGCTTAAACAAAGGTAGTTGAGTTTCCTTTATGAAAGTTTTGGTTTCAAAATCACAGCTTACTAAATTATATATTAAAAAACAAAACAGACAGATCACCTACAAATTAAATAAAAATCCAATAGTATAAAGAACGTTATTATTGGGATATTTAATCATAAGAATACAAATAACTACATAAAAATACAATGTTATATTACACTTATAGAAGAATAATAATTTTTAACATTTTTTTTTTTTGAAAAAATAATGAGTCTTGCCTTTAATCTTAACTATTGATATACTTTACTTATATTTAACAATTTTGAATTATTTATCATATGACTCATTATATTCAAGCAAGATTAACAACTAAGATAAAAAATACAACTTATATTCATATATAAAATAATTCTGCCTCATATATCATTTCATGACTGCAACATCATTCCCCCACATATTTTGCATACACTCATTCATCTTCAGAACCATCTTGATGCCACTTTACACAACAAATTCTATGCACGAACTCATGTCCACGTACAAGGTCCTTTTTCACCATTTGCACATGTTTGAATAGCCTTTTTTTTTTTTTTTTCTTGAACCAGAAAATAAATCCTTCTCACTACAAATTACTATTTGGATGTCTACCGGAGAAGTAACAAAAAAAATAAAAAATCTACTTCTTTTTCAAAGTTAAAAATTTTAGCTTCTATAAAAAAGAAGTCAAAAGTCAAATATTTTTTTTAAAATTCAAATTTATCCCAACTCAACCAATCTCACCTCCCCTTCCTCCACCGCTGCCATCACCACTACCCTTTTCATTGTCGCCACCACCACTATAACCCTAACCCCAACCAATTTCATCTCCGTCGTCATCCCACGACCGCCATTGCTACCTCCTTTATTGCCGCCTTCACCATTGTCGCTATCACCTCGCCACCACCTATACCACCATCTTTGTAGTCACCACTGCCTTGGCCATAGCCAAATTTGGTCCAATAATTTCTTTTTATGTGTCCTTTTTAGTAATTTTATAGATGAAAAATATTTATTTAATTAAAAGTGTTTTTCATGTAAAATATTCAAATGCAAAATAGTTTTAACTTTTGTAAAAAGTATTTTTAAAATAAATAAGGTATAAAAAGTTATTTTTTTCTCGAACTCGCACTCTTGCATACATATCTCCCAGCACCTTTGAGTTATAGAACATTGGATAATGGCGTCGAGAGAAAAGGAAAGGAAAACTCCCGAGACAGAGGAACTTGACCAACTGGAAAGGAGTGTGAAGAAAGTGAAGGAGTCACGTAAAGAGGACAGCCCGATAGATGATGTTATGCTGGAAAAGGCTGCCCTGGAGAATGATAATGTACCCAAAGAGGGAGTGGCTAGACTAGTAGACACGAACATGGAAGCATGCCAAGGAAGGAAGCTTGCCTCCTACAAAGACAAGGTCTTGTCTCTGAATGGACAAGCTTACGAATCAGATTCTGAGGAAGAAGACTGGATGGAAAGACAAAGGAGGGAAGAAGAGGAGGATGGAGAAGAAGAACCGGAGGGAGAAATGGATCCTCTTTGCCCTACCTATCATTTCTCCAAGAGCCAACATAAGAAAGAGTGTGACCAATGGAGGCATTCTCTTATCATTAAGCTGCTCGGTAAGAGGATAGCCTCAAGCTATCTCATGGCGCGGCTGCAGAATATGTGGGGACTAGTAAGGGCGTATGAACTCTTTAACCTGGACAATGGCCACATTCTACTAAGGTTTGCTGATGATAGGGACTATCGACATGTACTCCATGATGGACCGTGGATAGTCTCTGATCACTATCTGGTGGTGCAACGCTGGAGACCCTTTTTCAACCCTAACAATGATTCGGTTAAGAAGCTAGCAGTGTGGGTGAGGATTGGTGGCCTCCCTATGGAGTTTTACTCCTTCTATCATCTATGGAGGATAGGGAACCTACTTGGGAGGACCTTAAAGGTTGATAAGAGGTCTGTCATAAAGAACGAGGTAGGAGAAGGTGAGGTTACTGATAAAGCAAGGTTTGCTAGGATTTGCTTTGAGGTTGACCTGAGAAAATTTTTTATTCCTTCATTCAAGCTAGGAGAGGAGGTATTCCATGTTGGTATGAAGGTTTCCATATGATCTGCTTTTCATGTGGGAAGTATGGCCATAAGAAGGAGCAATGCAGCTCCCTCAGTGACAAAAGCCCGAAGGAAAAACCTGTAAAAGAAGGTCCGAACGTAAACATTGAAGGGTGTAACAATGTCGAACCAGTGGAGAATAAGGAGCAAAGAGAAGGGGAGGAAGCCTTCGGGTCCTGGATGGTTGTCCAGAGATCAAACAACTCTCGCCGGCTGAAGTTTTTACCGGCGGTGAAGAATCAGGGAGATTACAGTAGATCAACCAGTGTAGTGGGGAACAAATATCAAAGCGTTGAAAAACCTATTGTCTTAAAACCAGGAGCTAACATATTTTTGTGTAAAGTTGCTGCTGCGTTGGAGGAGATCAGCAATGATGTTTCCTCAGTTAGAGGGAACCTAACGGGTGGAGGATCAGACAAACCAAACAAAGTTGATACTGAAGGACCCTTTAAGTCAGCAAATAGCATGGGAACTTCTCAGAAAGCTAAAGGTACCTCAAAAGACAGGAAATACTCCTTACTATCTAAGAAGAATGTCTAGGCTAGGGATGCAAATCTTACGCAGTCCCCTCAACGCAAAGGGAAAGAACCTAGTCATCCAGGGTTGACTCTCCCAGGGGGATCAGACCTAAGGCACAACGCTGGATCTCGGGAGAATGGCCCAAAGTTGTCGAGTGAGAGGAACACCAATCTTACGTCAGATGTTACACAGTGGGAGGCTGAGAAGGCGACAAAGGAAAAGGAAATTCTGTACTTAATGATACCGACGTCTGAGTCACAGGATAGCATGCTTTTAGACCAAACTTTAGCTGTTTTGGCAGCTGACAATGGTCACCCCTCACATACATTTTAATGACCATTGGGTCCTTGGCCACCCCTTTGTTTGTTTTTATGATTGTAGTAGCTGGAACTGCAGAGGTGTGGCCAAGAAGGGGTTCTTAGCCCTCATTAGAGATCTTAAATCAAGATTTAATATTAATATTTTGGCTTTATTGGAAACTAAGATTAGTGGTGACAAGGCTCAGAAGCTTATTCCCAAGTTTGGTTTCTCTAATTTCGTCAGACAGGACCCTATGGGCTTTTCCGGAGGAATTTGGCTGTGCTGGGATGATGTGGACTTCACCCTCCAAGTCTTGAAGACCCACCATCAGTTTATTCATTCTGGGATCATTCATAGAAACTGTTCCAGAGTTGACTTCATCACCTTTGTTTATGGTAGCCCAAGAAGGTGCGAGAGAAGAATGTTGTGGCAGAAAATGGTTGACCTTGGCATGGACAACTCCTCCTCGTGGATAGTCTTGGGGGATTTCAACACTCTACTAAGCCCGAACGAAAAAGTAGGGGGATGGTCCTTCTGTTGGGGTGCAACTCAAGAATTTCGTGATTGTCTCACTAATTGTAACCTTCATGGCATGGGATCCAAGGGCCCTCAGTTGACTTGGAAGAGAAATAACACCCATGAACGTTTGTATAGGGCCTGCGTTTCGGAAGCATGGAACACTCAGTGGCCTAACCACTCTATCGTCCATCTACCCTTCTACTGTTCTAATCATAGACCATTATCCTGGTTGATGACCAGATCAGAAACTCTTTCTATGGTAGCAAACCGTTCAAGTTCCTTGCAGCATGGCTCACGGATGATAACTTTAATGACATTGTTTGTCACTGTTGGGCTAACGAACCAAATTGGTTCCTTAGTGCTCAAAAATTCCAAGAAGACGTCACGGTTTGGCATGAGCAATCCTTTCGAGCCACTCAACGTAAAAAGACCAGTTTTAGGCCAGACTTAGAGGTCTAGACTTGAAACTTGCTACCCAACCTAATTCTAACTTGGAACTCCTCCAGAGGTCGCTATGGAGGGAATTAGAAACGATTCTTATCAGGGAGGAGTTATGCTGGTTCCAAAGAGCTAAGTGTAATTGGTTGGAGTTTGGGGATAGGAACACCAGGTTCTTCCACTCTACTTTTGTTGCCAAACATAGAAGGAACAAAATCTTCACCATCAAAGACGATAATGGCCTGTGGATGGATGACCCTCACCTTATGATGGATAGTGTTGTGTCGTTCTTTGAAAGGTTGTTTGGGGAGAACTCAGATGGCTTGGAAGATTTTCCCTTGAGTGGTGGCTTTCCGATTATTGAAAATAGGTTTGGCAATATTGCAACTATTCCTTCTGCCACGGAGATCAAGCAGGCAATCTTCAGTATGGGCAAATTTAAATCCCCAGGGCCAGATGGCCTTAGTGCTCTCTTCTACCAGGCTCAGTGGCATGTGGTTGGGACATTCTTTTGCAACCTGATACTGGACATTTTTCGTAATCCCTAAAAGGTGTAGCATGTTAACCAAACATCTATTTTCCTCATTCCTAAGTTGGATAACCTGGAAGCCTTCAAGCAGTTTTGACCTATTAGCCTTTGTAATGTATCCTATAAAACCATTACAAAGATCATTGCTAACCGGTTAAAGAATTTTCTGCCTAACCTTATTGCTCCTAACCAGTGTAGTTTCATCAAAAGGAGGAATGGTTATGATAATATTGTGATTGCTCAAGAGATTCTCCATTCAATGAGGAGGAGAAAATGGGAGACTGGCTGGATGGCTATAAAACTCGATCTTGACAAAGCTTATGATCGGTTGGACTGGCAATTTATCCACAACACTATGGTTGATATTGGTTTACCGCGTAATCTGATCCACCTAATTGATGAGTGTGTGCAAACCCCTTCTATGAATCTGATCTGGAATGGTAGTACAACGCGTAGCTTCAAGCCAAAACATGGCCTTATGCAAGGGGATCCCATATCCCCTTACTTGTTTGTCATGTGTGTGGAACGACTTGCCCATTTAATCCAGGCTGCTATCCAAGTCAAAGCTTGGAAACCTATTATCCTTAGCAAAAAAGGACCCCCCGTATTCCACTTACTTTTTGCCGATGACATCTTCCTATTCGCAGAAGCATCCATGGAACAAGCTCACCTGATTAATCAGGTTCTGAAGACCTTCTATGGTGCCTCTGGCCAGAAGGTTAGTGAAGAAAAATTGAAGGTTCACTTCTCGAGTAATGTTGGCTTTGCTAAAGCTAGGCAAATTAGCGGGTGCATGGGCTTTGGTATTACCATGGACCTGGGGAGATACCTGGGTATGCCTTTACTGCATAAACGTGCGTCCAAATCCATCTATGCTCATATTCTACAAAAGATGAAGGACAAGCTAAACTCTTGGAATCAGAATGCTCTCTCCTTCGCAGGGAGGATCACCCTTGCCAAATCTATCCTTGGAGTGTTGCCTACGTACAACATGCAAACCTCCTCCCTAACCATTTCCATCTGCAATGAGATTGATCGAACCACTAGGGACTTTATTTGGGGCTCCTCAGCTGCTAAAAGAAAAGTTCATTTGGTGGGTTGGGATAAAGTGTGCTCCTCAAAGGTTTCGGGAGGCCTAGGCATCAGGACCTCTAGACTTGCCAATACTTCCTCTGTCATGAAAATTGGGCACAGGATTCTAGTTGAAAAAAATGCCTTATGGTGCAAGGTGTTAAGAGCCAAATACAAAGTGCCTGATACCCTTATTCCTAACCTCATCCCTCGCAGGGAAGGATCCAACCTATAGAAGGGGATTTATCGAGCTTGGCCGGAGATTAGAAAGGGCTCCAGAATCTTTGTTGGCAATGGAAGAAACACTCTCTTTTGGACAGAGAAGTGGATACCTCAGGTGGACAACTTGCTGGATGTAGCAAACATACCTGTTGACGATGACATGTTAAGCTGGACCGTTGCTGACTGTGTGGTTCAGGGTAAGGTTTGGAACTGGCAGATGTTCCAACACCTACTCCCCCAAGAAATCCTCAACTCCATTGCAGGAGTCCTTCCTCCTGATCCTGGAGACGAACCTGCTCGTGTCTCCTGGGACCTGTCTAGTGACGGTAAGTTCTCTGTTGCTTCAGCCTACCACATACTCTCTAATCCCTCTACCGATTTTTTCTCAGGGTAGAACATTCCCTGGAAATGGAAGGGACCCCACAGGATTCAAACCTTCATTTGGCTCCTCTTCAATAGCGAAATCCTAACCAATCAGGAGCGGGCTAGAAGGAACTTCGATCTCGTTCAAAACTGTCCACGGTGCAACTACCCTATTGAAGACTGCAACCATGTGTTTAGGAGCTGTCCTTGGGTGAAGTCAGTTTGGGAGAACCTCATTAATCCCAACCAAGCTAGGACTTTCTACTCTTCTCATTTCTTGGAATGGCTTAAAGCCAATATCTGGGACAAGTCCCAGCGCGAAGAGGGAGAAGGGTGGTCTACTTTGTTTGGAGTTGCGTGTTGGATGATTTGGAAAGAACGTAATAACCTCGTGTTCAATAACAAGATCTCCAACCCTGTAAATGTAAGCCATCGTGCTAAAGGTTTTACTGCCAGCTTCTTTCAAGCTCGTGACTCCTTAGCCAGACTTAGGCCCTGTTGTGGTGTTAGGATAGAAGTTCTAATCTCCTGGACGCCCCCTCTAATGACTGGTTGAAGCATAACACAGATGGCTCGGCTACTGCGGATGGGAGGCAGTCAACGTGGGGAGAGTTATCAGGGATTGCTCTATGAAGTGGCTCGTGGGTTTCTATAAATATCTGGGAGCAGGGAACGCCCTCAGGGGGGAGTCTGGGGCATGCTTTGAGGTCTACAAGTAGCTTGGGATCAGGGTTATCGTAAGATTTGGTTGGAAAGAGACTCTTCCACTGTTATCCAGCTAGTAGAAGATGGTTGTCAGGTTCATCACAACCTCTTCTCTTTGGTTAAACGCATCAAAGATTGCCTAAAGCAATCCTGGGAGGTTAAGGTCTCACATGTGTTTAGAGAAGGCAATTCAGTAGCTGATATTTTGGCCTCTTTGGCTCCACCTTTTACTGGAATCTCTATGTTCTAACCAGTATTCCTCCCACCTGCATGGAGGCTATAGCAAAGGACAACTATGGGGTTACTACTCGTAGACTGATCCGTGATTAGTTTGCTTTGTTTCCTTTTATTCCAAAAAAAAATCTCCTAACACCTATAGGTGATCACACCATCACCCTTTATCCTAGTTGCATGTAGTGGAAACTATCACTTAATATCTTCGACATTTTACTAATTAAAAAGAACTAATCCTCCCTATATTAGATGCTCTTACGATTCAATATATTAATTTATTCGGCCTCTTTACAAGATTAATCTATGAATATTTAGGGAAAGGTTAAAAAGTCCCTTATGATTTTGTTTTGAATCACTTGTCCCTTATGTTTTCTATTTTTTATTTTATTTTAAATCACTTATCCTTTTGTAGTCTTTTATCCAAATTCATCCTCCACACAGTTAAAAACTTAATTAATTTACTTATTTGATCGTTCATAAAAAAACAAAATAAACTGCGAATAGAAAAATAGAAGAAAAAATAAAACCAATTATACTAAAAATTTACATAGACATATTTGGATGAAAAAAAAGCAAAAAAATGCATAGGAGATTAAATGATTCAAAAACATATGAGAGTTTTTGAACTTTTAATTAACACATTTTTAAAATTTCTTGATAAAGATGAGTTTTATTTTAATAATATTATGTTAAATTAATTTTTGATTTAAAAAGTTTTTTTTTTGGTAAGCTGATTTAAAAAGTTTTATATGTGAAGTAAAAATATTATTTAGTAGTATAATTAGAGTACCATATATTATTAGTATTATTCATAGAAAAAAGTATTTCTCTAGTTACTGGAGATAAAGTTATCTCCAGTGAGCTCAAAATGACGTAGTTTTGGAGTTATAAGATTAAAAAATTATAATGAGAAAAACTAATATAACCTTGCAATATATTAGAATCACATAAATACCTTGATTTTCGTCACAAAATGATGTCGTTTTGGGCTCACCGGAGATAACTTATCTCATTTGACTGGAAAAAATCTGTACCCTTATTCATAATATAATTATGCAAAAATAAATAAATAAAAGTGACAATAAAGATCTATATAATATCTATAGATAAAATATATTTGCAAAAATATAATAAAAATACATAGAAGGAAAAATAATATTATTATACACAAATCGGTCTTTTTCTCCTTCAGGGTACTAAGTTAATGAGTCACTGTTCTAATCTTTTAAATTGGATTTATATTAAAATATAATAAATATAATAAGCGACTAATATTTCTTATGTTTTAGGCTTGTAGGACACACATAAAAATGTATGGGAATGAGATCCATGTGAGGAGAAGAGAAACAAAAAATGAGCCACACAGTTAATTTTATCTTCTATAATATAAAAAGGGAAAGGTTATACATACAACCTATTTTCATTTACAACTTCTTACAATCATATCTTAACCATTGATTTCCTTCAATCAATGGTTAAGATTTTTGCAAATCAAATTTATTAATTAATTATTAATTCGCAATAAACGACAACCGTTGATTGACGAAAATCAACGGTTAAAATATGATTGTAAGAGGTTGTAAACGAAAATAGATTGTAAATATAACCTTCCCCGTATAAAAAATATTAATCTCATATAATAATAGGTGTTTTTTTGTAGTACATATATTAGGTGTATTTTTTTTAGTACATATAATAGGTGTAATTTTTTTTTTTTTGTTTATAATAGATGTCTTTTAACATTGAAGTCTTTAGAGCATAATTGTAAGTGTTGTTGCCAATCTCCAACTAAATAATTTCACAAGCCAATTTATTTAAAAAGATGATATTTGGACGAGACCATTTTCTGTGCAACGGTCGCACATGCTACCTTCATTCACAAAATTACACTTGGATTAATTTTTTTTTTTTTGGTCTTCTCCGTATAGCATACCTCCATTCTCTCTCTGGTGTTGATTGACTGTCGCATCGAGTCAATGATGTGATGGAAGTATCTTAAAATTTTTCTAATTGGACGTAAGTTACACCCGATTCTTGGATGAACGACTTGTCGAATCCGGATTTGATGCGATGGAAGTATCTTAAAAATTTTATAATTGGACGTAAGTTACACCTGATTCTTGGATGAATGACTTGTCGAATCCGGATTTGATAACAATGAGATAAAGAAATAAAAAGAAATGACTCTTCTTACCAAAAAAAAGAAAGAAAGAAGTGACTCTCTGGTAGAGATGTTAAAATCACTTGACACAAGATCACTTAACATGAATTTAACATGATATAAATGCTTGCAATATAAACACGATATGAATTTTTATTTATATTAAAAATTTTGACACGAATATAACTTGTAAATTTTACGAGTTGACACGAATATCACATAAATTTTGAGTCAAAATAATAATGGAAAAAAATATATAAAATGGGTCAAATTTACAAAAAAAGTTTAAAAAATAAAAAAGAGTCGAATTTGTGTTCACACTATATAACACGAGATTTTACGTATCATGTTTTCTCAATATGAACAAAAACACAAGTTTTAATATAAATTAATCCCAATACGAATTTTCATATAATATTCGTATCGTCTCGGTGTGTCAAGAATTGACATCCCTTGCTCTCTCTCGTAGTACACCGAACACCAAGTATATATATCTCACTATCCTATTTGTCCTTTCCTTTGATAGCAACCGACCCGTCCCATTTTTGGCATCTTACTCTCTTGTACAGTTTTTTTTTTTTTTTTGGGTAGTCTGTATGTACCGATGCTTTAATATTGTGATTTCTCTACACTCAAATTGAATAACATGTCAAAATATAACATAATCTTATCAAATTGGATAACATGTCACAATATAACGTGATCTTGTCATATGCAATTTTTGTATGCATATTTCTTTTTTAAAATAGTTATAAATTTTAATTGGACGATACTTATTTAATGTGTATAAATTTTGTATGCAATTTTTGTATGCATATTTCTTTTTAAAATAGACACAAAATTTTGAGAAAAAAGAATATTATCTAGTCCCACAATCAAACGGTCAGGGAGATTCGGTGCTTGACGAACCATCATCTCTCGTGTACCGCCACCATACCAGAGCCAAACACTGTCATCCTTATCTTCATCGAAAAAGGTTTATTATAATAATGAAGGAAACATCGAACACGAAGAGGAAACCTTATCCACAACAATTTATAATTGTGAAATTGCCGCCCTTGTGCCTGTCCGGTACCTCTCGTCATTTTCTTTTCCTATTTTTTCATTAAAAGCAAATTTCAGAAAATGAATAATGCATGGTGTACCTTAAATCTAACACGTGTCCTATGAGTTGCACTATGGCCACAGCCCACAAGCATAAATTTCATTTTGTTTATAACTACAGATATTTTTAATGTCAATGAAAATTAGCTTATGAGATCGAATTGCATTCATATATAAACTGCTCGTATTTGCTTTTCGGCGACGTACATTTGTTGATAAATTTTCCTGTAAGTATAATTATTATTATTAACATTGGACAATTCACTTTATTTTTTTTATAAGAAAAACATTTATGAATCATAACATAAAAAAATAATTCTCATACAAGATTAATGGGTAAAAGATACAAATACTGTCGTAATTTCTATTTTTCAATTCCAAATCACTTTTGAGTAAAATAATACTTTTTAAAAAAAGTAAATGACTCTTGCGTTGTTTGCAACGGGTGGAATAGTGACCAAAGTGTCACGTTTGGACAAAAAAATTACCAGACTGCCATGCTCATAGTAAATTTTATCAAAATACCACGCGGTATAATTCGCTACACAGTGTAGCGGATTATGCATGCAAGTAATTCGCTACACAGTGTACCGAAATATGCCACCTCATAACGCACAGAATCAAAAATGTCACATGTCAAATTTTGCAAAATTCGCTACATAGGGTAACGAATTTCTCAAAATTTGACATGTGATATTTTTGGTTCTGACGTGGCATATTTCGCTACACTGTGTAGCGAATTACTTGCATACATAATTCGCTACACCGTGTAGCGAATTATGCCGCGTGACATTTTGACAAAATTTACTGTTAGCGTGACAGTCTGGTAATTTTTTTGTCCAAACGTGACAAAATGATCACTCTTCCGCGACAGGTCCCTGTGATGACATGGCAGATAGTTAATGTGACGTCCACCTGTCCATGGTGGTGGGTCGGGGCTCCGAAAGATCCATTTTTCATAATTCAATGTTATCCTCTTCTACCGTACCCAACCAGTTCTCCACGTCATTCATCCCGATGCGTCTGACGTGCAGAACAAAGATTGGCTTGTTAGAAGCTTATGATGTTCTTAATACACTACATTCCTGCAGCTAGCGTTGAGAATAGAGATGTAAATACATTAAGCTAAATTAGACTTTAACTTAAATATGTTAGGTATGTGTAAAAAATATTGGACATGACTTAATCTGTTAGTTTTGTTAGACTCCGAATTACAAGTTTGGTCTGATCTATATTTAAAAAATAAAAGTCTAGACCTAGGTCTGTTAACCTGTTAAGCCTATTAAATATTCAACAATTAAAAGAATAATTAAAATAATATTACTATATTATTCAAAATTATTAAAATAATAATTTTATTTAAAATAAATGATATGATATAGGCCGAACGGTAAGCTTATAGGCTCAACATGTGCAAAAAGATCTATGGTCTATTTTTTAAATAGATTTTTTTAAAAGTTTAAGTCTATTCTATTTTACTATTTATAATAAGTCAAGTCTGACCTAATCGTAGTCCTATGTAAGTTGTTCTAATCGATTTACATCCTTTGTTGGGAACATAGGATAAGGACGAATTATTGGATCAAAAACAGTAACGAATCTCAAAGTCGTTGATGAAGGGTGACAAATCTGCCACGTGTCAGATAGTAACTGCGAAAGCAATGAAAGTGCGAAAGCTGGCAAAACCATCGAGCTAGGAAGCTAATTTCAGACACGCCACTTATGTGGGTTCCACACGAAACATAATCCTCGGTGACGGACTGTCGAAGGACAATGGATAAGGTCGAACTCATGAGAAACTATGCACTACTTCTCGTCTATTTGTCTCATAATCTAACACACATCAACGACCGTCGATTGAGATTACTTCAAGGTGTTCTTGGATCATCGCACGGTATGAAACCAATCTAAATATTTTTTTGCATAAATTAAAATAAAAAAAGAATGAAATTATTTTTAGTGGTTGACCCATGAAGACAAGTGAGCTTCCAAAAAAAGTATCACACTGTTGCAAGCCGTCTCAGCTGAGTGGAAAGAGAGAGATATTATGGGGTTGGGTGAAGATAATTTCAAGATAATTTTTTTTTCTTTCTTTTAACCATTTATATTAACATTTTTTTATTATTTTCTTTATTCTTCACCACTATATAGAGTTGATTTTTTTTTTTTCTTCAAATGGTTTATATGGATTCCTAATTTTTTCCATCCACCCAATCAAAGTGAAGTTGGAATTCAAATCTCAACCACACTGGTAATTTTCTTCAATTGCTTGTTAATTTTTATTATTATTATCTTTTTATCTTTGCCCCGTTGCTCTCTTAAGCTATCTGTTCTTCTAAGTTCTGTCCATTTATGACATCAATCTCTGGTGGGTTGTTTGGTTGCTGTTGCTTGTTGTAGCTGTTTATGTGATCTGAATCTGTTCCAATTCCTTTTGTTTGTTTCTTCTGGATTGCAAGTAACTATATGTTTTATCCCTCCCTTGCTTTGATCCACTTATCTAAGCTTATCTTCAAACAAGTTCTGCTCTCCCTTTTGATGCTATTCATTGTTACTCATCACAGATTCACCTCTTGCCATTTCATGCTTTGTGATTTCTCTTTTGCTCAATTCAGGACTAGTATTAGCTGACCCAGAACTCAAAACATAGTCTTGTTCACTTGTCTGTTATGTGGGTATTGTGTTTTCGAAGTATTGTGTGTTAGCTTGGGATTATAAAAGAATGGTGTCAAGATCCTATTCAAATCTATTAGACCTGGCCTCTGGTGAGGCTCCATCATTTGGGTATATGAACAGGAGAATTCCAAGGATTATGACTGTGGCTGGGTTGATATCTGATGTTGATGATGACCCAGAGGAGAGTGTGTGCTCTGATCCATCTTCTTCTACAGTGCACAGAGACAGGATCATAATAGTGGCTAATCAGCTCCCTATTAGGGCTCAGAGGAAGCCAGATGGTAATAGGAATTGGTCTTTTGAATGGGATGAGAATTCACTTCTTCAATTGAAAGATGGATTAGGGGATGATGATATTGAGGTTATTTATGTTGGATGTCTTAAGGAAGATGTTCATCTAAATGAACAGGATGAGGTTTCACAGATACTTCTTGAGAACTACAAGTGTGTCCCAACTTTTCTCCCACCTGATATGTTTACTAGGTACTATCATGGGTTTTGCAAACAACAGTTGTGGCCACTGTTTCATTACATGTTGCCTCTGTCACCAGAACTTGGTGGTAGGTTTAATAGGTCACTTTGGCAAGCTTATGTCTCAGTCAATAAAATTTTTGCAGATAGGATCATGGAAGTTATTAACCCTGAAGATGATTTTGTGTGGATACATGATTATCATCTGATGGTGTTACCAACTTTCTTAAGGAAGAGATTTAACAGAGTTAAACTGGGATTCTTCCTTCATAGCCCATTCCCTTCATCAGAAATATATAAGACATTGCCTGTTAGGGAAGAGCTCTTGAGAGCCCTCCTTAATTCGGATTTGATTGGGTTCCACACTTTTGATTATGCGCGACATTTCCTCTCCTGTTGTAGTCGGATGCTCGGTCTTACCTACGAATCGAAGCGTGGTTACATTGGGATAGAGTATTATGGTAGGACTGTTAGTATCAAAATTCTTCCTGTTGGTATACATATGGGTCAGCTTCAATCAGTTTTAAGACTGCCGAAGACTGAAGAAAAAGTTTGTGAGCTCATTAGACAGTTTTCTGATCGAGGAAGGACAATGTTGCTTGGGGTGGATGACATGGATATTTTTAAGGGTATAAGTTTGAAGCTATTGGCCATGGAGCAGCTTCTCATGCAGCACCCTGAGTATCAGGGAAAGGTAGTACTGGTCCAGATAGCTAATCCTGCGAGGGGACGGGGGAAGGATGTGAAAGAAGTGCAAGCTGAGACGAAGGCCACCGTAAAACGGATTAATGAATCATTTGGGAAACCCGGGTATGATCCTGTTATTCTGATTGAGGAGCCTCTCGAGTTTTATGAGAGGGTTGCATACTATGTTGTTGCGGAGTGTTGTTTGGTCACTGCAGTAAGGGATGGAATGAATCTCATACCATATGAATATATAATTAGTCGTCAAGGAAATGAAACATTGGATAAAGTTTTGGGGTTAGCTTCCTCCCCTAAGAAGAAAAGCATGTTAGTTGTGTCTGAGTTCATTGGCTGTTCTCCATCTTTAAGTGGAGCAATCAGAGTGAACCCGTGGAATGTGGATGCAGTAGCAGATGCAATGGACACTGCCTTGGAAATGGCTGATTCAGAGAAACAGCTTAGGCATGAAAAACATTATAGATATGTTAGTACTCATGATGTTGGTTACTGGGCCCGAAGCTTCTTACAAGATTTGGAAAGGACTTGTAGTGATCATGTACGGCGAAGGTGGTGGGGAATTGGGTTTGGATTAAGTTTTAGAGTTGTAGCACTTGATCCAAACTTCAGGAAGCTCTCAATGGAGCACATAGTTTCAGCTTACAAGCGGACAACAACTAGGGCAATTCTTCTAGACTATGATGGTACACTAATGCCTCAGGCTTCCATTGATAAGAGCCCAACCAGTAAATCCATTGAAATTCTTAGTAGTTTGTGTAGAGATAAGAACAACGTGGTGTTTCTTGTTAGTGCTAGAAGCCGAAAGACACTTAATGAATGGTTTTCTCCTTGTGAGAATCTCGGAATTGCAGCTGAGCATGGTTACTTTCTAAGGTAAATTACTTAGGCTTCTGACCTTTTCAAGATTGATGCTTTCATTGGGTATAGGTAATGGCTGACATTACTTATTGTATGATGTGTGGTTTCAGAATGAAGCGAGATGAAGAATGGGAAACATGTGTTCCTGCGATAGACCATAGTTGGAAACAAATTGCAGAGCCGGTAATGAAACTTTATACTGAAACAACTGATGGATCCACCATTGAAGATAAGGAGACTGCACTTGTCTGGTGCTATGAGGATGCAGATCCAGATTTTGGATCATGCCAAGCTAAGGAACTTCTTGATCATCTGGAAAGTGTGCTTGCAAATGAACCAGTAACAGTCAAGAGTGGCCAGAATAATGTAGAGGTTAAACCACAGGTATGTATAACATTCTAGGAATGAATTATGGCGATAGATTCATTTTATATCTTCGATTAGTGGTCACAATCATGAGTTATATTTTTTTGTCAGCTAATTCTAGATTAAAAATAAAAAGCTGGCATGTTAACTAGCAGAACTTGTGTCACATTAAGGCATAATTTGAAAACAAAATCCATTATTGTTGTTGGAGTGACCAATAAAGGTATAGTAAGAGTGTTAGCAAAAGTCAAGACTAGGTGTTCTTTGTGCATTGAATTCTGGGCTTTAGTTAAAATCTAAAAAAAGGGGCCATCAATCCAAGTGAAATGCTCTTCTAAAGAGTGCATTTATTGTTGAACTGCACTAATGGGCTTAAGCTAGACCAACTACATCAAGTGAGTCCAACACCATGTTACAACTCAAGACCTTAAAAGTATTGGATTCATGGGTTCTCTCACTTATATAGACTTCACTTGACCTATTACCAACCAATGTAGGACTAATCACACTTGAATAACTCAACAATAAAGTGTTTATTTTCTCTTCTCTTGTGGTTACTTTTTTGATAATTACCAAATTTTTATACATGCAGGGTGTGAGCAAGGGACTAGTGGCCAAACGCCTTCTTTCTGCAATGCAAGAAAAGGAAATGTCACCTGATTTTGTTTTGTGTATAGGAGATGACAGGTCTGATGAAGACATGTTTGAGGTAATCACAAGTTCAATGGCTGGTCCAATTGCTCCAAGGGCTGAAGTGTTTGCATGCACTGTTGGTCGAAAACCCAGTAAAGCTAAGTACTATCTTGATGATACAGCTGAAATAGTGAGATTGATTCAGGGTTTAGCCTGTGTTTCTGAACAAAGAGTTCTATGTTAAGCAAGGGAAAGGTGTTGGTGAAAAAGGAATTGCACTTGCTTTTCTTTGTCATTGAGCATGTAGGGTCAGTTATGCTCTCCATACAAGTTCTTTTTGTTTTCTTTATATTCCATGTAAATTATTATAGTTGTTACCGAGAGAAGTTCTGTATCGAATTCTGTTCCCTTAAATGCTTGATTTCTATAAGGAAAACTTGTACATATGTTTAGTTTTCCGCTATGAACACAGCTTTGCATTCCTTTGTTAAATGATGCCGTCTGTTTCTGACTTTATGAGTTTCCTCCTTTTTTGGTTTTACTTATCTTGGGCCATGCTCTCTATTATGTGTCTAATTTTGTCAAAATTTCCTTCCAAGTGTTCAGAGTGGTGCCATCAACATGATTTACAGGAAAAATGAGACTTTTTAAAGAACTTCACTGTTTCATTTGTATCCTATTACGTTGGACTACTTCTTTAAAATAAGAGTTTATCATCTATCATTTAACATAATCACAAAAATTTTTCTACACATACAACATTTTGTGGGGTCCGCAGCAAAAAAAATAAAAAAACTTCGGTACACAAAACGAATCTCTATAACATAACACAATTATTTTTTCTACAACATAACTCTTATAAAATCTTTAAAATAAATAAATAAATAAATAAAAGGTAGGATATTGCTTGTTGATAGCTAAGCTTAAAATTTTGTGCATGAAATCACTCATCAAATTATTGTAGAATAATACAGTTGTACAAAACTTAACGTCAACCTTCAAAGGTTTGTAGTATCAAATTAATTCTCCAAAGATTTAAAGTAACATTAAAACGTACTAAATTGATATCATATGGATTTGATAGAAAAATTATGTTAAATGAGAATTATTTTAATGTCATTTAAATTTTTTAAAAATTAATTTGATGTCATATAAACAAACTACAAGAATACAAGGTTTCCTTCACGTATTCAACTTATGCAAAGAAGGATATTTAAATATCATTGATATGTTTTATTAATTTGATTTGTGCTTAATTACATTCGGTACCACATGCTTTTGATGTCTTTAGCCCACACTGTTGCCTTCAATAGCTTCACTACCGTCTCTGCTAATATCATTTTAAGGAAAGTTATTTCTTAGCTTTATATAAATTGGGTACAGGTCGAATCCATAGTCTTATTGATCCATATTCTTATTGCAAACTGTTCATTGAGTGCTTGTGCTAGCCCGGTTGGGTTAAGTTATGTAAAGGCCCACACGACAGTCCTGGCCATTGGGGCAAAGATTGGTCTAAGAGATAATTTTATTTTATATATACGGGGCGGAGAAGAGAAAAAAAAAACACGAATTCCACACACTTTTACGTATGTGTAGGAGATAAAATTATCTCGTACAACATGAAAAATATTAATCTCATAAATTTATGGGTTAAATTCTCTTTGTTAAATGTACATGTACATGAAATAGCAATACAAAAGTCTCAAGATAGAAAAATTTTTGGTCCAATTTTATTGCGAAAAATATTTCTGTCGAAATTCTCAACATAATACGTTATTTCCAATGAAAATTTTTGGAGGAAAATATTTCTATAAAAAATTTTAACAAAAAAAATCCCATCAAAATTCTTTGCGGAATCTAAATTCCTGCGAAGGTTTCGATTGAAATATTTCTATCAAAATTTTTCACGAAAAATATTTTCATAAACTGTCGACGGAACAAATTGCTAAAAAATTTCAATGAAAAATATTTTTGTCAAAAAATTTGGCAAAAACACTTTTTACAAAATCTAAATTTTGTCAAAAATTTTGGACGAAAAATATTTTAGTCAAAATTTTCATCAGAACATATTGCCAACAAAAAATTTTGGACAAAATTTTTTGGAGAAAATATTTCCGTAATTTTTTTTGATAAAATTAATTTCTTTAAAATTCTTGACAGAAATTCCGCCCAAAGCTTTGTTAAAATTATTTTCGTCAAAATTTTAAACAAAAATATTTCAGTCAAAAATTTCGACGAAACACATTTCTATAAAAAAAATTTAGATGAAAAACATTTCGGTCAAAAATTTTGACGAAATTCTTTTTCTGTCGAAACTTTTGATGGTACGTTTTTGGTGAAAATATTTAAAAAGTCATTGTCTTTAAAACTTTTTACTGAAACTAAATTCCGTAAAAAATGTTGAAGCAATTATGATCCATCAAAAATTTTGATGCAAATTTTTTTCCGTCAAAATTTAGACGGATAAAAAATTTCGTTAAAACGTATTTTTTATCATTTGAAATGTAGAAATTTCATAAAAAATATGAGCATGTTTTAGTAGTGAAACAATTACATAAATAATTTTGTTAGAAATTTTAAATTTAATTTTGTTTGTAAAACATAATAATTATATTAATTTTAAAATATGATAAAAAGGTAAAAATATTTCGTAAACCCTCAATTTTTCTCCCTTACCTTTTTTTAAGTTCCAAATAAAGGAAGGGAATAACTTTCAATTTCCTTCCCTTCCTTCTCCTGCTTCTCCCTTGGATCCCCTTCCTTCCATTTTCTTCCAAACTCCCAAACAAAGCCTTAGGGGGTGACACTTGGACAAAACATTATTTTTTATTTCTCCTATTTCCTTTCTCCGCGGTAGTTATCTAATTTTGATCTTGATTGATCTGGACCACTGAGTTATTGGTGTTCCAAGACCTCCAAAATTCTTCTCTTTGTCCACCAGGTTCAACTCTTGCATAATTCAATGTTCACCAACTGTCATTTATTAATATAATAATCTTACGAAATGTTACCTTAATTACTGAATGTGTCTGGTCCTTGAGTTTTGGGCCGAAGTGGGACCTCTGTTGGCTTTCCCCGTGTCCTGCCAATAAAAATTATCATCTAAATGCTAGTATGAGTCATATGCAACACATACTGCATTAATATAGACTCAGTTAACATAAAATTAATGATCACCAATTATTTAATGCATGCTTCTTTGTTGGTACTTCCCCTACTCCAACCTCTATATAATACAAGCTTACCCCATCTCTTCCATAGATGAATGAAATGGAGGACTCTCATATGGATTACCAGTCACCCCAAATTTGCGATGAAGACAAAGCAAAATTGGTAATCAATGCATTACCACCAAATGGAGGTCGTGGCACATACAGCTACTCCAAAAATTCCTACTTTCAGGTATATATATTGTTCCTTTCACTAACCAATTTCAGAAAAAATAAAACAAGAAAAGAAAATTGTTGGTATAATTTGGACAATGTTATGTATTTTGCATTTTAGGGTTGAACTTAAAAGAGCATGGTACAATACATAATTGATTAAGAATTTCAAACATGCTTGATAAAGGAAAATGGAACATCAAATTTCGATGCATATCTATACATATTACAAGGAACAAGAAATTAGTTATGAGCTAGAAAAGCAAATGTCAATGTGAGTCATTCTATTTTCTAAACAAGATTTCTTTGTAGAAACTAAGTTCAAGAGTTGAAAAGAACAAGATAGAAGAAGAAATCCACAAGAAGCTTGATGTGAAAAAGCTTGCTTTTGCTTCAAACATGATACGTGTGGCAGGTTTGGGATGTGCCATTGGTCCAAACAGCTTCATGACTACATAGAATGTTCTTGAAGCTATCAAAAAGAAGTACCAAAGCCAATGTCAAAATGCTGCAATGCTAGAGTTCCATGTGTTCTTCAATGATCTACCATCCAACGATTTCAATACCCTCTTCACCTCTTTGCCTGAGGATAAACAATACTTTTCAGCTAGTGTGCATGGTTCTTTCTATGATCGCTTGTTTCCTGAATCTTCTATTCATTTTGCATATGCTATTTATGCACTCCATTTTCTTTCAAAGTCACCAGAAAAACTACAAGATATGAACAAGGGAAGAATTCACTACACAAGTGTTTCCAAGGAAGTAGTTAATGCTTATACTGATCAATTTTCTAAGAATGCAGGGGACTTCTTGGATGCTAGGTGTAACACCCCGTTCATGACCGGTCATGTTATCATTGTTTATGATATTAAGCGCAGTTACAATCACAACAGTTCATTTAAAAATATCGAAAAAACATCTTCTTTTCAACACCATTTACAAAATCCTTACGTTTATAAAACGTGTGTATTCAACATTTTTCAAAAATGTGATTGTAACTTAAACTATTACGGAATCTTAAATACTAAGGCTTAACATCATACAAAGTCTATGAAAGAACTGCTAAGTGTCTCCCATAAAATAACGAAGCACAAATACACAATTTGACGTTTTACCTATTTAAGGTACACTTAGTTTTTCAAAACTGCAACTGGACTACTTGTCATAAATTCTCATCTTTTGATATGTTATTTTACACTCTTTTATCTTTTCAATAAGGTATCACACGCCCCATCTGGAATTCTACAACTCTAGATATGCTCACCGTAAGTTAATTCCTTAAAACTGTCAAAATTGCACTTTCAATACTCAAACATACCTCACTGCTTTTCGAACTGCAGACGTTTCACACCTCTTTCTTCCACCATGTTTTAATATGTTTTAGTGGACACCTTAGGCTTAAATTAATATATCATAAGCCTAATTTCGGTAAACAATGAGAGAGATATGAATTTTTAAAAAATGAATACCAACGCTGTCAACTTCAGCGCGAAACAGAACAACTCTCATTCAAATGCAAATCGGCAAGTTTTTACAACTCCAAATGACACCAAATTTTATGACAATATAAGGGACATACCCATCTTCAAAATAAGGTATGGTACGCCTTATTTGGACCATTGTGGAAAGAGTTATGGCCTTTCAAAGTTAGGATAAAATCTTACTGTTTTTATAAATTTTTTGACAAAGTCTCCTTTGTTCTTACAACTTTTCCCCACTTTGTACAAATGTGTTCCAATACTCAAAAATGGTACCTTATAGACCAAAAGGATGGCATCAAAAGGATCAATATACCTTAGTGCACTTACAACCCACGATATACATTAATTCCTCTCATTACTTTTTCACACACAATGTCTCATTGTCATTCATTATAATTAAACATCATTAATAACTACAATAGGCCTAAAGCCCTTCCATCACATACATTAATATCTACATAAACAAAGTTCTCCGATGATACAATTACATTTACATCAACTATCAAATTTAACTATTACATGATCAACCTAATAATCAAATGACTTAGACACAAAAACGTGAACATCTCTAAGCATGTTCACAACATCTCATCCAAGACCAATGTTCATGCACTAAGTCAATGATAGAAAATAAACAACTATCAAGTGCATC